ACACACACACACACACACACACACACACACTCAAGCCTTGTGGAATACACACAACCCTCAGGGGTCCCAGAGACACAGTACTATAGTCAGCAACTATACAACTCTGGAGGGGCCCTGTCCATCCTTACATGAGACAGAAAACAAAAGAGTGTGAGTTTGTGTGTGTGTGTGTGTACCAACTGGGAAAGTACACAAGAATATTGGGCGGCTGCAATCTTCGTCTCTTTAGCTCTCTGACGCTCGCCTGCTGCATTTCTGTGACAGCCACAGACAAAACATAATGGTATAATTTTTCCTCATCTTCGGCAAAAAGCTTTTTATTTCATTATCTGGAAAAATAATCAAGTACTGTTGTGCATTACAGCTTGATTTTCCAGAGATTACGTTCAAGAGTTGTATTACAGAGTAACTTTAAAACCTTTGTCAGTATCTGTATGATGAAGAGATCTATGATCACTGTAAGGTCAGAATCAGTGTCCAAGGACAAATCACTGTCAGTCAAAGAAATATGTTGCACCTGCATGGTGACCTTAGACTGGGGGCCGGAGACACTAATCCCATCAGGGGTCATGGTGAGAACGCTTCATCTCCGACTGAAGAGGTTGAGGTCGGTTTTCAGCCGACTGTGGAGCCGCACCACAGGGATAAATGAAGCAACCGGCGTAGAGGCAGACATGCTCCTCATCGTCTTTTAGAAGACACGTCTAAAAGAATTACTGTTGACAAGGAGCATTTGATATGAACGTAAGATGAAAGCCGATCTTTGCATTATTAAATTGTAATAATGTGAAAGACAGTGAAAAACAACTCCTGGATCCGAACCTATATTTAATAGGTTCTTTCCTTCCACCAAATTTCGTGGGAATCTGTTGTTTTTGTGTAATCTGAAATGGACAGGGGTGAAAACATGTCCTCCTTGGTGGAGGTAATAACTCTATTGCAGTTAAAATCCAATCAACAGTTACAGCTTTAGAGTAATTCAAAAAGATTTAACCTTTCAAAGTTACATCTGAAACATTACTCACTTTTTATTAAGTATTTAAAGCTAAGTTTGAACACTGCATCTTCTCTCTCCTCGCCACAAAATCAACAGAATCGATCTTTTTTGTTTCTTGCAAACATTTCCCCAGCTGCTCTGTGAATTCAAACAGGAAAACGTCTTGTCTGAAGTTAGAAAAGTGTCTGTTGTCTGTGCAGCGGCGGAAAGTTTGGGCATCAACAGCAAAGCTTTTGAAAGTCAATTTAATGTGCATTTCTCTGATAACCCAGTGATCTTGCAGTAAACTGTTCGGATGTGGTAAATCTATCCCGCCCATCTGGCAGCTGAAAACAATGTTTAAGAGTAATTTGAAGATACTATTTGTCTCATGCCTGGTGGGGGAATGATAGCGTTTTAACTCTGTGTCTCAGGGGGAAAAGCCCATCTGTGATACTAATACATCACTTGTTGATGTGAGGAGAAACATCAATACAGCTAATATAAAAATGATTACAAACTACGCCCGGTGACATTTTTACCACTTTGCTGAGCACACCACTTACACTCTCCACAGAAGCAGAGGGATAGATCAAGAAATAAGGAGAGTGAGCGAGGACGGGGGTGCGTGAGTGATGAAAGGTGTGTTTATGCTCGCCTGTGGCTGTGCGAGCGACATGGTGGGCTGTGTTTGAGAACTCTCTCAATCAGCTTCTGTTGATTGCATATTTACACGTGGTTTACAAATGCATATTGAACAGGCGGGTGGATTACATGCAAACACGGACACACGCGCACTCACGTGCACACAACAAACAGACAAACATCCTTTTTACCTGCACACACACACACACACACACACACACAAATATAAGGAATAACAGTGCCAGGCTGATAACCTACAGATGTAGTAGTACTCATGTCCGGGCCTGAACTCAAAGCCCAGGGAGAAGGGAGTGAAGAGCTGGAATTTCTCTGAGAAGCGCAGGGGTCCGTCAGGACCGCTGGGACGGTTGCACTCCCAGCGCTTGAAGCCACGCATCCTGTGCTGGCAGGAAGTGTAGCCCTCGTGGTTGACCATGAAGAGGATGTAGCGCTCCATGCGCCCGTGGGATGGAGGACCCTCATAGTAAGGACAGTAGATGTCCAGATAGTCATTGATGTTCACCGCCACCCTGTACTCTCCGTGCCAGAACCTGCAAGACACAAAGGAAAGTCGATTTGAATTTCCTCATGAAATTAAGCGGCTGAGAAATATGCATTGAATCAGTGGGCAGACGTCCATGTGACAATAGTTTACTGAGGTAAAATAAGATGCAAGACAAAATACAAATATATCCCTACAGAACGATGAATATTCACTACCTGTATCGAGTTTCTGAATGATTGCACGGCTTAAAGAAAAATTGCGGTGAGTGTCCATTTAGTGCAGTCATGCTGTGCACGGCAATTATATGAAATATTATGACTGCTGTTTGGACATTTTTGTGTTTGCGAATCTCCACAAGAAGCTCGGAGGTCACAGAGAGCTACACAACTGCAGCCCTGAGAGATTCAATGCATTGTTTCCGAGGACAATTCAAATGTTTTATTATAGAGGGTCATTGCAGTAGATAGCAAAAACATCGGACAGGGTGTTGTTTGAAACTAATTTAATAAAATAAGATAAATCTTTGTCAGCTATGCTTCATGGGAATGGTTTGTTTGTTAGAGATCCAGTCTTTCTTCCTGTCAGAGTTCCTCAATGAGCCTTCTCCTCTGACACTCAAAAGAAGTGGGTCATGTGATGGAGGATGGTACACATTATAATCCCATCATGTTGTTACCCCATCCCCTGAAGCAGTGTATACAGGCAGCTGTGGTAAGGGTCCACTTAGTTCCGTACACATTGCAGATCACTGAGGTCGGTGTCATGAATAGAAGTGGGTCAGAGGTTAGTTAAGAAGACGTATCAGTGTATAGACACATTGTTGACGGTAAGTGCGGTGGAGGAATATGCAATTTTCCTTCCTGTATTCCTCCTTCTGGCACCGAGTCAAGGATCATGTGCAGGTAACATATGGAGAAACATAAGTTGGCATCTCCTCCCGTCTCTTCTCAAAAGCCTCTGCTAGTTATGATATATTACAACCATATGGATGCATCCTCTCCCCACATAATACAAGCTCTCTTTAGGTTTATGGTTTTGTGCCAGAGTTGCTCATGTGCAGGGGAAGTGGGACTCGTGTTTACAATCTTGAAGTCAGTGGAGTGAGACTGTCTCTCCTAAAGGATGAGACCTGTGATATTCTATATTTTTGTTATTGCCAACAAATGCCATTAAAAGATAAAAAAAAAAGCCAACTGGGTATTATAATTGAACTTTTCAACTCCTCTACCCTGTCTGTGAACCCCAGCCTCAGGCCCACTGGTTTCTTCTGAGAGCATAAATGTCTAAAAATGGGTCATGAACACCTACTTTCATTTTTTAAACGAGGCTAAATCATCCTCTAAAACAGCTTGATACTGTTTTTTTTTTTCCTTTGCAGAAATTACCCAAACAGGACTATGCGGTACATTTGTTAGGGGGTGTTCTTACCAATGCATTGGTGTATATTTGATGCTCTTGTGAGTATTTTCAGCAGCAGGATGGTGTTTTTGAGTTCAACTCACAGCGCTGCATGTTTGTGGTTATGAAGAAACATTTCAGCTGCTGTCTCACTGACAGTTTTCAACAAAAACTGAGCTTTGTGACACAGATGACTAAGCCCCACAAGGTTCAAGATAAAATACTTAAAAGTATAGAGAATATCACCAGATGAATTCATAAAACAGTCTTAGCTTAATATACGAAAGAATATAAAGTTTACCTTTATTTTAAAGTTAGAGTATCTATACTAGAAACAATGAATAGATAATGTAACATTTGTTAAATGACAAATGCTACAAAGTAAAGTTTTGCTTTTATATTATTCCCCTTCTTTGAGGAAATGCAATGAATCAGCATCTTTAAAGTACTTGATACTTCAGATATACCCAGTTATTTTAAATTCACATTTCACTTTGAACATTCTTCACTAAATCATCTAACACTTGTTTAAAATCCACATGTGTGGTATGTTAGCGTTGAGCCCTCTGTGAGCGTGTGCATGTGTCCGCGTCTGTAGCGACCACTTCCTCTGGCATTTGTCGTTATCGCCATGGCTACGATCAATTTGATTTCAAATGTACCACATCGAATACGTTTAAAATTCAGCTGCAGCAAGTTATCAAATCCTGTTTCTCCAAGCTCAGTAAATTTGAGACGCAGGAAGATGCCTGCAATCAAATGAGCATAAACAAAGCCAGTTGTCGGGCAATCTCGTCGTCTCAGATGGCGTGTGCACACGCTTTTTAAACAAATTCATCATTTTCCTCCTCACCTTGGCAGTAATTGATTGCCTCGAATGAAGACATTTTGGTCTAAGCACTTTTGGTTAGTGGGATATTTAGCTTTGGGACAAATTATCCCAATAACGCCAGTCCTATCTCTCTCCCAGAGGGCAAATCAGGAAGTGAGTTAGATGTAATGAGTGCCTTCATGCTTCAGTGCCCTATCAGAGCGAGTTTTGCAGGTTCTAAAGGGATCCTTGAGCAGATCATTTAGATGCATTGATCCACTGGGGAGCTCCTCTCGGCTCTCTCTGCTCCCAATCAACTCTGATTAACAACTAAAGGGGAAGGCAGAGAGAGAGAGGAACAGAGGGAGAGATGCACAGAATAAGGATAAAAGGAGTGAAAGGAAAGAACAGAGGGAGGGAGACAAAGAGAGGAATGGTAGGGGAAAAGTGAAAATACGTGCAGACTGAGGACAAAAGTAAGCGAAAGACTGAGGGAGGAGGAGGGATAATGAGATTGCATGAAATAAGGGTTAGAAAAGTCCGAAATAAGCAAAAACACAGAGGAAAGTAAGAGGAGGAGGAGGAGGAGGAGGCCGGCTGGAGGAAGAGCAGATGGAAGAGGAGTTTTCCGTCTTTCTTTTCAATTTGTACGATTGTGGGTTTCCATCCGAGACAAATGTGCTTTGCCTATTGATTGTGCACTGATACATATATGGATGACTACCATCTGAGCATTAGCACTTTGGGCATCCATTGTGTGTGCACATGTGTGTGTGTGTGTACTTTGACAGAAATGTGTGTGTGTGTGTGAGGATGCTCGATCTATGAAAGGGCTAATGTGGCAGGACACATTAGGTTGTATTAAGCTACTCAGCTCCCTGCTCCTGTGACACCGTCTGCATTCCTAATTGGCCAAACTGCATGTGCAGGTGTGTGCCACTGCACTCTGAGCGTTAAACAGAACATGTTGGAGTGAGTGTGTGTGTGTGTGTGTGTGTGTGTGTGTGTGGGTAGTGGATGAATGTGTGTGTCACTGCATCGCTGCCTCTAAGGCTGTGTGTCATTTGGAATTAAACACACACACTGCACTGGCCAAAAAGACATGAGAATGCACTCTCACTTACGTCATGTATCTTCTTCACAGTACTTGTGTGTGTGTGTGTGTGTGTGTGTCTGCCACAGGTATTGGTGTGTCTCTCTTTTGACGTAGCTCTGTATCTGAGCAACTGTGTTTATATAATATTTACTTATTTAACTAATTTCCAACAGAAAATACATTATGAAAGAAAGTTGAATATGAATAAATAATGTTTTATATCAACACAGGGAGGTTATGTTGTTAATTTTCATATTTTCAAGCTGCAATTATGACTTAACTAAACTTGTTGGTGAAATGTTCTCAGAATTTGTTATTTAGAATTTAATTTAGTAGCTATTTAACTTTTTAGGCACTCCCAACATTTGGTTAACAGTAAATAAAGTATATACGGTATCGTTCAATCCAGAAAATGTTTGCAGACACGATGTCTTTATTTATATTTAACCATCACTAAGTGCTTTTGATGTCTGGACCTAACAACCAGTGGACCACGGATGCATCTGGCGTGATTTTGTAACATTCACCCAAACCTTGTCCGAACAACTCTACTGCCAGTGATTCACTTAAGAGTAATTTAACATTTTAACTTCTCGACCTGTGGCAGTGAGACAGAAGCCTCGTGTTGCCAGACTTAACTCCACAGTGCATTAAAAGATGTGTGTCATTGTGTGACTGCACAGTCCAAAAGTTTGTTAAAGCCTGACGTCTTCAGTGGTTCTGGTTGCTAGCTCGAAGATATTTGGTTCCTGCAGAAAAGGGCATTTTTAAAACTGATGATAGGCAGGAAGCTGACGGAGGAGAGAAAGCCGTCTGAAATACATGTAGGTGCCCAATGCAGGACTCATATTCACAGTCTACTACCCTTCAAGTGTCATTTTCTTGATAATGTCAAATTTATGACAGCGCATGAATAATTTCCTTGGTTTTAATTTAAGATGCAGAGTGTGGAATCCTCTTATTCTCAAAGCATCAGTTCAACCTTTCTAAAACATATTGGAGAAATCTGCCTCCACCCCAAATACAGTCAAGGTGAATGGAATTTCATTAGTGTCACACACTGTCAACTGTTGTCATAGGGACAATTTCTTATGCAGAAAGTTGTTCAGACGAAATCTCTGCACAGTGAAGTCTGTGGATTATCCAGTAAGAGTTCTGTGAAAGTCCCATTGCTGTTGAATTATTTCACCGGAATTAAAAAATACTAAAATATACAGACTTATTCAAATTTGTGGGTCACAGTGTTGCTCCAAAATATGAGTGTTTAGGTTTGAAATCTCACCCTTGTTTGCTCGTTCCCTTTACGCAATATAACGGACGCTCAGTAGTGAGTGCATTGTGCATTGTGGTATTGTTGCAGACTGCAGAAACCGTGACCTCTACGTTTTTGTCCCATTGTTGAATTTTTGAGGGCACTGTTTGGTGGAAACTTTCACACACTCAGAATTCAGACACTTGAATAAAATGGCAGACAGTGGTGCACAATACAATAAATAGGGAGCGATTTGTACGCACTCTTTTTTATCATAGCTGTTGATATAAGTTTGCTGGAAACAGCCATCGGCCCATTGTATTTACTCTTTATACCATTAACCACCTGAGCAAATTCAATTCATTCCTTTGGCATCGTGGTCCGTTTGCTAGCTGACCATTAGCTCTCTGATTCCTTCAGAGAGCTTCACTGTCCCTCTTCAATAACTTTTTATTGCACAAAACGGTTTACAAGGATGAAGAAAACACC